GATTCTAAATGACACTTCTTGAGTGTGTTGAGTTTGTGCAGTGACAATATTCCTGGTCTCCATGGTCAAAGACAACAATCATAACCAATTACACCAAACAAATACAATGTATATTTTTATTACAAAACATACATAAATTTAAAATCTCATACGCATAGGACTTTTGCATACAGATTAGCTAGCTCACTTAGTCTCCTTTAATAAGTATTTTTATGGTACTTGATACTTCGATTTTCGTATTTTGATCATTTAAATTGGATTGTAATAAGTAATTAATTCTTATAAATGAAATATAATCTTAAAACCACAACACAAAATCTTCATCACACAATTTGTTGCTACTCATAGTTGAGTTATGCTAACTTGAAACTAACAACAAACCCCTCTAAGGAATGAATTTCTCGATCTATTCAAAATTCTCTAATGCGTTGAAAATCAAGTTGTTCCTAACATTATAGAAATCCACCAATTTTTTTTATCTAATATGACAGTGGAATCGAGGACTTGAAAATCTTATTGTCTGAAATTTTAATGTATATATTTTGGGTTTCAATTGTAAGAATTATGTTAATCACAAGATTGAACGATTTGTTTTTTCAATGGCATTGAGATTCGATTGGAAGAAGTGAGAGCTCGGACATGCCATTGATAAGTATCATTTTTCCATTTTTTATTTTTAGTTATATTTCTATAAGATTATTTGTTATTATACATGGTACTATGTATCATTTATATTTTTTTTTACTATAATGAGTGGGGTGTTAAGGTTATTTTTAGTTTACTTTAGGATGATAAGATTTAATCATAGTTTAATAAGCAAGATAAGAGCCACTTTAATGATAATTAACAAAAAAAACTAAACCTAGTGGGTTGGTTAAAAATATAATATTACCACTCCTCTAATTTTGGTAATTAATTTAGTTGCACCAATACCTCTGGAGATGCTTGAGACCTGTTACTATAATTACATGTATCCAACCCAATTTCGGCTTCCATCCACTACAACTCCGTTAAGAAAGCGTCCCTCCAACTATTACAATAACTAGTTATCTAGCCCGCGCTATGCGTCGGGAAGAATATTTGAAACCCTTTACTTGTATGATCCACTTTATGATGGAAAGTCGTATCATCTAATTCCTCATTAGCAAGGTGTGACTCTCGAATGTGTGAATATCATCTGTTAGAAGCATTGGGAGGGAACAATGGCGTTGTTTGAGAAGTTTGCAATGCAATCTTTGGCTGCAGTTAAAACTTAAAATGCAAATATCAGTTGGGCAGTTTTTGTAATTGTAAGGAATTCGAAATCTATTCAAATGTAAATCCTAAACAAAAGCAAAATGATTTTATGAGGATGTACGTTGAAAGCACCTGGTGGACAGGTGGAGTGTCTTTCCACTCATCCTATTCATATTTAAGAGCAGGTAGATGAAAGTAAGAACTGAGACAGAATTCAAAGCTGAAACATGCCTGTACAACATGAAGTAACATTATGATATTATTGTTTCCCAAGGTTAGCGAGAGGAGTTAGTTAACTAAGCACATCGTTGAAAAAGAAAGGTTATTAGGTTAGAGTTCTATATACACAATAAACTTAAAACAGTAAGTAACCCAATTAATCTCCCTAGCCAAGGTCACTGTGATCTTAAAACAGTAAGAAACTCATTCAATCTCCCTAGGCAAGGGCGCAATTAAGGCCACTGTGTATTGATTAGTGATCAAATTCCTATTCTACATAAACATCAGAGTTAGTAAGAGAAGATTCATCACCCTCTTCGTTAACTGACAACAAAGCAACGATCAAGCTTACAACCGCTTGACCTCCCACTTTTATTTCTCCCAATGACCAAAAAGTTACGTCTAGTTACTTAGGATCACTAATCAAGATAATGCTAGGAAAACCACATTTGTTTTCAATTTGACAGCTGAAAGTCAAGATTTACGTACCTAGCTCATTGATTACATACGAAGCAGGGACTGCATAAATAAATAAAATCCAGACTGTTAAGGAACTTTACCAGAGATGTTTTTTTTACCCTTCTAGGATACTTTATTATCTCATCAAGATGCAGCTCGGATTGTGTAACAAAACATCACCAGACACCCACATGAGAATCCTTAAGTCAATTTTCCATTCTACACAGATCAAGAGTAACTAATGGAATGGTTCGTGCCAAACTTATTTGTATAAGCAAATTCATTGAGAAAAAATCAAGATTATGAAGGAAACCTTGGGTAATTTGCTATTATATCGAGCAACTTCAAAGACTTTAAGATCGTTGGCCGAATCAATAGCATTTATCAACGTAAAGAAAGTTTTTATTCATTCCATATATGAAAAGAGTTGGATTGATAACAACACAAACATAGTAAGTAAATTAGATACAATTGAACTATTATATATTGACATATAATACAAACTTAACATATACACAAATGTAGAGACGTTTGTTAATCATTTCAAAATTCAGATACTTTTATATAGTACAGTAGTCAGATGTCAATCCTCTTGAGATGCATGAAGCTGCAATAACCACAGCAGTTGTCGTATGTGTTCAACTCGACAAATATGTTTTCATGGAAGTCTTCGAGGGAAATAAATCAACCCAAATCCTATCAATACTTAAGACGCATAGCCTAGTTCAGCTTGCAAGCATATCTGTACTGTACTGTACTGTACGCACATGAAACTGATTCTACCAAACAAACCACTAAGTGTTGTGAACTAATCAGCTCTTCTATGATTTGGATTTACCTATGACATGACTTGGAAATCAGTTCTTTTATAACTTTGCATGCACCCAACATGAATTCTATAAACTGGCGAATAAGCTAAAACGAAATGAGTTAATGGTATGCAGTGAAAATGGAAACTAAAAAGAAATGTGATCAAGAAAACACCAAGCTTGCAACAGAACAATCCTCTTGAATATGCAAATCAGAACTTTGTATTTCAAATCCGTCGCTTCAATATCACTCTGTTGAGGCATGAAATTAAATTCAACGTTCAACAAACATAAATAATAGAAACTGCAAAATGAATCGGTGTATAACCTTGTGCACATCTCTTAGAAGTGGCATGGGTACCCGGAAATGAGCAGGAGCTAATATCTTGATAGTCTCTGTTGTGCTAGCTGGAAGTGGATTTTCCTTTGAGCCTTTGCCGTGACTTCTTCTACATCATATTTGGATTGTGGAATTCAGAAGCAGAGTTGGTCTCTCTTGTAGATAAGAAGAAACATATGTGGGCACATGGAACAAAAGTTTAACAGTGATATAAACCGTAAATGAAAAGAAAAGTAGTCAGAAACCAATGTCAATTTTGGTTGGGTGATCAAGACACGAAGGATGGATTTACTTACTGAAACATGGCAATTATATTCTTGTCCATCTACTTCTAGCATGGATGTCTCTCTAGTCTCAAATGAGAAGACCAAATTAAGTGGGCATCAGAAGTTCAGAACCATAGAATCAATCTGCGCATATATGTGTATGTAATTAAAGGTGGTATGTGGTGCTTCGGAAGAAGAAAGGGACAAAATTCTCTTAATAAAGCTCATCCAAACCACCGCTCAAACAAAACGAAAGGTAATTTCTTCCTCTTCATTTCATAAGCCCATCTCAAGCAATAAATTAAAGCCAACATCGGCTGTGATCAAAACCTAACATTGGGAAAAACAAAAACAAAAAACAAAGAGGGAAACAGATACAAACCGCGGCTTTGATTTTTGTAGAGAAGAAGACCCATGGCGGCTTCAGTTTCGCAGAGGCGGCTAACCCTCCATTTTGCAGCAGAGAAGAAAGAAACGGCAAAAAGAGATATATATTGGCGACCGAGAAAAAATTAGAAAGCTGCATCTCCTCCAAGAGTCCCTCTGCTTCTTCCATCGATTTCGCGGAGCTAGGCAACCACCTGCATAACCTAGCCCGTTCGAGCCGTAACTTCGCTGAACTCTGATTCTTTTTTTGATTTCGTGGAGAACAAATGGGACACAAAAAGATGCCTGTATCTCCGCCCACCTCTGCTTCTTCTATAAGGCTGTAATTGGCTGGGCCTACTAATTAATCTACGCCATGCTTGGCCAGCCCAAAGTAACACGGACTTACGCTAAAATGATCTGTAGATGATTTTTAAACCTTTATGAACAGTGGCTTCCGAAAATTTCTTAATGAACAGTGATTCCGATTTTTTTGGGACTTGGGACTTAATAATTCTAATAATTACATGTGAATGGAAATCATAGGTTAACTCGTTCAAGAAAGCATTGTTCCCCATTTGCATGTCTCAACGAGAAAGAACTTTATGATGCTTCAGACGAGATGCGATATCATCTGAGAGCCTGTTGTCTTCAACTCGAGCTTTTGGTCATTCGAATTGATCTAACTTGTTGTGTATTATAAAAATATGAAATTTCCAATAGAAATTATAATTTTATAATAATTTTTTGTGATAAAAATGATGGTGATGCACAAAAAACTCCTCTGACGAGACTTAAAGTTCAAACTTGACCACTAATCATGGTAAAGGAAACCGTACCGGAATTCATATCAGACTCGTCAGTGGTAGGATATTTTGTGGTACAACTGTGGTTCAATCGTTGTGTACCAGTAAATATCGTTTTTGTAATTAAAATATTTTTTTTTGTTAAAAGACCGTACCTGCAGATTTAGTATATCGTTCGGAGTAATACCGCAATAAAACCGGAATATACCGGATAACAAACCCTAATAAACTAAATAGGGATAGGTAATATAACAATCAACAAACTGCAACATTACTGAATAAACTACATAATCGTTCAAATACATGTTTAGGATCGAGTACAAAACATACCAATATCGATCGAGCAAGAACACAAGTGGAGATCTCAATCGAGCACTAAAATAACAGAAATACACAAAATAATATCGCCGATAGTGATGCTTAGCTTATCAATTTCATGGCCTTTTTCTTTGTACTCGGAAAATTTCGGCTTGCTTGATTGATTGGCTGTCTTAATTAGTTAACCAGTTGCCACATTGCAGGAGCTCTCGCACAACAATTGCTCCAAGAAAGCAGCTCCAAGATCTTCGAACTCCACCACTTCTTCTTCCTCCTCCTCCTTATGATTCTGGCGGCCCTTTTCAACCATCGCAGCCTTGCTCTGCCGGCTGAGCGCCTCGGCGGGGGACGGGTGCTCCTTGAATATGCTGCAACCTATCTCCCGGAGGCACCTGCTGACGTCATCGATGGGGAAGTTGAGGACGACCTTGGAGCCCTGAAGGGACAACGCGGCCTAGTCGTACGCCAGCGCCGCTGCCTCTGGGGTGTCGAATGTCCCCAGCCACACCCTCACGCCACGCCAAGTAGAATCCCTTATCTCCACCGCGTACTTCCCCCACGGCTGCCGGCGTACACGACAAAAGTACTGAAGAAGAGGGTAACTCAGAATGGCGGCAGGCTAATCCTCTGTCCTTGTCGCGGTCGCCAGAGGAAGGATTGAACGAAGCCAGCGGTGTTCCTGTCTTCTCGCTGGTCGTCAGAGGCAGGGCTGGAAGACGATTGATCGGCAGCGTCGTTCTCTTCTTCTCGATCAGGCAGCAGGTGGCGTTGTGGAGAAGAGGAGGAGCGGCAGGTGAAGTGAAACGATGGGGAAGATTCAAGGTTAGGGAATTAGGGACACTCGTTTTCCCCCCTCAATTTTGTCAATGGAACGGCAGCGACGCTGCGTTACTTTGAAATATTAGTCTACCGTCAGTCTGAATTATACCGGGCGATAAATCGGATAGTGCCGGTTATGCCGTAAGAACCGGCCGACACGGTAAAACAGATGCTGGATGGGTGCCATTTCGCCACTAGGCCGGTCCCCGGTTTTTCCGGTTGAACCGGCCGATACGATCCGGTTTCCTTTTCCATTACACTAATCCCCACTAAAAGTAAAACATTAAATTTTTTTTAACAAGTTGAAAACAAAGGAAGAAGAGGTGTTAAACCCACTTTTAATCTAACCCATCATCGATATTCAAAATGCTTATGTTTTCTCAAATATTTTATGCTAATGCATAGTTCATCCAATGTAGAGTTGCAAAAATAAGAAATGAGGCTGAAATTTCATTTCATAACCTCCTTCAGACAAGGTGGTATAGTATCCAAGTACTTGCTATTGTCAAATCGAGCTTACCGAGCTTCATGTCATTTGTATTAGTGTACATTTTGTGTATTCTAAATTTGGAGGGTAAAAAGCAAATTATGATCTCATAACAAATGGTAGGAAAAAGTGGTGGAGATGTGCCATCTTCACTAACAAGAAAAATCAAAACCAACCATCAATCTCTATAAAACATTGAAAGATAAATAAATTGACAATAAAGGCCAGAGAAGTGGTAAGACTCAATTTCATTAATATTTAGCATTTGACTGAATCTCCAATATTCAGGACAACCTATATCTTTGCAAAATTTTCAAAATAAGGAATGAGGCTGCGGTTTTGGTACATAACCTTCTTTTTTGTTGCTTTACCCACTCTAATTTAAGTACGAATCTCAAGATAGTAGAACTAGGGATTTTTCCAATTTCTCACAAATTTTCTACTAACTATATTTCCTTCTTCATATTAGATTAATTGAAACTCACTCCTACTGTCACTCTAGAAAATGGCCAAGTGTAACCACTTCCTAAAGCGTAGTATAGCGGGTTTGGGTTTTAATGTCAACCCGGGTCCTAGATTTGATGACTACTCAGTGAATTCTTGTTATCTAGCAGTGAAACTTTAGTGCAGATTCAAGCAAACAAAAACACAAAGCAAGTTAAACGGTTGTTTTCAAGTCGACAGAGGTCACCCGGATATGGTTCCCCCTAGACTGCAGTTAAGCCGGATTGCAATTTACCAAGTTCAATTTCTATGATAGTTATACTGCGGAAGGTTCTTAAACAGCCTGAAGTCTCGACTAAAGGTCTCCAGACCCTCTCAATCTGAGTCTCTAGCGGGCGACTAACCTCCATCGGAGTAAACAGATTGAGGCCCTAGCGAACCAAACCTCCACTACCGAAGTAACTTCGGTACAGAATAGTGAATTGGCTCCTCGACTAAAGTCACCAATTCACTACCTTCAATTAAGGGTGCTCTATCAACCTAGGCAGATATTCTCATTCTAGGTTAAGGCAGAAAAAAAAAGGAATTTGATCAGGATTCATGCCATTCAATCATTCAAACCTCAATCGAATATAATCCAATCATAGAATCAGTACTTGGGTTCATACAATCAAACCTAATATACAAATCTAGGGTTCTCCATACCCAGATGAATGGGAGAACTACTCCATGGAGAAAGAAGCAAAAGCAGATTCAGATGCGGAAACCATACTGTGAAGGATGGATTTCAGCTCCTGGACGTTGTTCGGCACTTCTCCAAGCTCAAGCCAAGCTCCAATGGTGATGAAGATCAAGCTAGGGCACTTGGGAGCTCTTGTTCGTCGCTTTTTCTGTCTAGGAATCGCTCTGTCTCTCTAAAAACTCGAATCCCCGTCTCTTTTGGCTGAAATCTGCCTAAAAGGGCATCACTGGGCAAAACACGGTCGAGGGCACGGCCGTGTTTTGCTCCAGCCCGCCCGTGCCCTTTGCCACGTGGTAAATACACGGCCACGGTCTGGGAGAAACACGGGCGTGTTTTGATGTGGACACGGCCGTGTTCTGAATTGGTCCCGCCCGTGTTTTGGCTTTTTCTTCATTCAGCTCTCGGCAGTAAAAACACTGGCGTGCTTTGTGGTGTAAACGGCCGTGTTCTTCAAGCCTCCTGCCCGTGTTTTGGTCCTAGCTCGACCAAATGACTTCCAAATGCCCCTAAACTCGTGCTTGGCCTTCCCTTCGACGCCTGGGACCTGAAATATGTCAAAGTAGCACAACCCGGCGTAAAATAGGCCAAAACACACAACTATGCCCCGCAAATGGATAAGAAATAGGGGTATAAAAACATGCAATTACATCGTTATCAAACTCCCCCACACTTAACCGTTTGCTTGTCCCTAAGCAAACCAAGTCAGACACCAGGTAAGCTCAAAACGTTTTAATCAAGCAGGCTTTAGGGCAAATCATACCAGCACAAAACACGTGGATCATACTGGCTTTCGAACATTAACACATGGCAACTCCAACGACAACCTAGACAACCACCACAGATGACATTCGAATGCAGTAAAGTCGAGCAAAGGAAGAGTTCCCTTCTATTCACCAACCAACATAGACTTGACTCAAACATTTATTCAAAACAGTCACTTCATGCACGAAGCTCAAGATATCAGAGTTAAGACCGAGCAATCTAGGTCCTCACCGGGATAAAGAGTATAGAGAATATGAGAAGATGAATCGCTCACTCTCGACCAGTGGGGTCAGGACAATTTGATGCGAAAAATGCGCATGCTTATTCTCTCAATCCCTAACGTCTCTTCAACATGAATGCAGCCTCTAAATGCTAGAGTTCACATATGGGGTGTCACCACTAACTAATCCGGAGGTCTTAGACACAGGTTCAGATGACTGGCTAGGGTCTTGGACATGGAAAAAGGCCTTTTAGGTGGTGGAAGTAATAGCACAAGGTTCCACATTTCCAAACCCAACAAAATCACAGCCAAGCAAACCAGTAATTTTCTTTCTGCTATTCTGCATTACTCAAATTCTTTAGGGCACGAGAGCGAAGGAGGTTATATAAATGTTAGCATTTCCAAGCCAGACTGCTAAGAAACACTACTTAATGGGCACAATTCAGATTTTTGGTGGTGGCTCTCTTTTGCTTTTATTTTTTTCTTTGATTTTCTTTATTTTTTTTTAATTCCTTAAGAGAACCACCACCTCTGCACATTTTTCAAACAAATGCCCAACTTTTAAGCACTACCTCCAACCCTCACATTACATTTAGCAGAAACAGCAGAAAACATGTAAAAACCACTCTGTGGAACCTTCTAAAAGATGCAAAAGGGTGATTTTTCAATGTAGACCGAAAGAAAGGATAACACACGGCTCAAAGGGGCTGACTAGGGGATATGACACATCAGGACAGTCAATTTGTTTGTGGGCTAATCCTATGCCTCCATCATCTTAGCTAGTGACAACGTGAATGCTACACATCATGGAAGAGGGATCTATCGCACAAGAAAGAAACGAGCAGGCTCAAATCTCACATGGCTACCTATATGCTCTATCTCACATTCTGATTCCCTGAACTAGATGCATAAATGACTGTCAAAAGCAAGTGATCAAATCTAAGTCACAGTTGGTAAGCAAACAGTTGAAAACTGAACCCCTACACAACTCTACCACACATCTCAGTCATCATAATAGGCTGTCTTAGTCACACGCAAGTTGTCATGCATCAAGTCAAAAGCCATTCAATTCACTAATCACATCCACTGTGCCAATACGATCAATCATCAAGCAAACAGCAGTGCTTGGAGCCCTCAAATCTCGAGATTTGGACAGCGGACTAGGCTCCAAGCACTCATACACACGTTCCAATTAATACAAAGAACCCCCCCCCACACTTAAATGCGACAATGTCCTCAATGGAGCAGATGGAAGGGGAACGATGTTACCGTGAAAAGAGAGCAGGAACGAAGATTGGGAGGCAGACCAGTCAATAGCAGGGGACTGGAAGGGGAACCAGTCCGAGGCACAGAGCTAAAGTCAACAAAAGACACACACTGGGTGAAAGAACCGGAGTTCCAAGTCTACAATCCAAAATAAAACAAAACCAAACGAAACAACAAGAACATGGAGTCTCAGTCTGGAAAACAAAGGAGGCACAGAGCTAGCCACTCGCCACTAGAATGCATCGCCACCATCGCCGGAAGGTGGGGGGTACTCGTCATCATAGCCCGGGGACTGCACAAAGGGGTAGTGAACTGCGTTCGGGTCCAGACCCAGGTAGGACATAATGTAGTGCTGGCCGGACATCAGACGACGGCCGCGGTCCCGCTCACGATCGAGGTGGGTGTGAAGGCGCTCCTGGCCGGCCAGAATGTGCTCGTTCTGCTGAGCGATGGCCGCCAACTGATCAGCGATGGGCATCACGTGAGGAGGAGACCCCGGAGCAGGAGATCTGGGTGCAGCGGAGGGCTCGCGGGAGCCTGGGTATGAGGAACAGTACGGCGGGGAACCCGGCATCCCCCAGCTGCGCTGGACTCCGGCTGATCTCCCTCTGCAGGCGCAGGTGGGCGGGAGAAGCCCAAAATCCAGTGCAGACGCCCCTGGCGAGCCACCAAATGCTGGGCGCGGAGGGTGGCCTCGCCGAGCGGGGTTGGTCCTCGGACCTGGGTCATCCCGGTGATGTTGACCCCGTAGTAGCGGACCAAGGCGGTGATCACCGGGCCACAAACAAGGTCGCGATCCTGGCTGGCGGAAGCTTTGCCGAACATCCGGGCAAGCACAGAGCCCAGCTGGATGGTGTCCTCAGAGCAACCAATCGCATGCATGAAGAACAGTGTCCTGAGTGTGACCCGGTTGGCCGAGCCCTTGCTGGGAGTGTAGGAACAGGCGAGCAGATGGTTGAGGATGCGCCACTCCGGCCAGAGGAGAGAGGCCCGCGTTTGGCTGGCGAAGTATTGCTCGTCGACGTGGCTGGGCTGGCAGATCCGCTGGAAATAAGCATGGCACGGAACTCGGTAGGATCAG